GAAGGATTTCTTCATTGATCTCAGGCTGCCTTATTCTGCTGTCCGTGGAGAGCAGATAGAAATTAAAGCAATCCTCCACAACTACAGCCCTGATCGAATCACTGTAAGTACAGAACCACAGTAATTACTGGACTGAAACACAGTGGTGTTCAAAAGTGTCGTCTTGTGAGTTTATCATGTGCATTTTCGTGTTGTGTTCTTAAAATCATTTTCATTTTCATTTGCCAGGATGATTACATTTCCTTAGTTAAGGTTGGCTTATCATATTTCGTTTATCATCAACTAAAATTGAAGAGTACAATCCCTTTTTCATGTTGAGTTTATTAACTTAGTTTTATATAAATAAGGAGAAATGAAATTGCAGAAAGTTAAAGGAATGCTTAAAAATCTCTGTATTTATTCATGATCTTTGTATTCTTCCAGTTCGAAATACCACGTTTCAATCTCTTCTCCAACTTTGTCATTGCTGTTTTTCTTTTATAAAGGTACGCATTGATTTGACTGAGGAGGAGCATGTGTGTAGTTCAGCTTCCAAACGTGGTAGGTATCGCCAGGAGGTCACTGTTGGGCCCGAGACAACACGATCTGTACCTTTTGTCATTATTCCCATGAAGGAGGGAGAACGGCACATTGAGGTTAAAGCAGCTGTTAAGGACTCATATCTCAATGATGGAGTCATGAAGATGTTGCGGGTGGTGGTAAGAAAACCAATGTTTGCTATTTGGATGCCCAAAAATATGTTCGTTATCAATTCCCTATTAAATAAAACAAAAATGTTTTTTCTTATCTGAATGTGAAAAGGCCATTTAAAATTGGTAGTAATAAAATAATTTGAAAGTTATTGTTTGTTGAGGTTTAGGCACAAAAAGGAACAGACAGAAACAATAACTGGAGTCTGGCTCAATCCCAGACCAAACATTAGACTGATAATTTTGTAGACTAACAATATGTGCTGAACTTTTGTTCTAATACTACATGATTATCACTGCCAAAAGAATGTCCCTTAATAATCTTAGAAATGATCAAAATATTAACAATAATCATACTCATCAAATGCATTTTTAGTTCATTGCTTTTTTGTGTCTATTTTGTAAAAAAAGGATTTTAGTTAAAGTGTGACTATAGGAAGATGAAGAACCAGTACAGTACTCCAATCAGTACTGAACAGCAAACAGACAAAACCTAGCCAAAAGAAAAACTACTTATGATAATGTAGGTCAGTTTTATCCATATTTTACTTCTAAAAATCATGGTTATAACCAATATTGACATATATTACTGAAATGCGTTCACTGTATTCATTTGGGAGAAATGTTACATTTACAGTCACATGTAAATGTTGTTTAGTAATTATGCATAAAAATGGATAACAGTTTAGTTGAAATTTAAATAGAGCTGACAGTTCAAGCTAAGTCAGTATTTGTGGTTTATATATTGTGATTTTGTAAAGGGTTTTGGCTTCATATTAATATTGATAATGTTATATTTTATGAATTTAAAGGAAAAATACT